CCACAGGCTGCTGCCAGGACTGGGGCAGCAGCAGGCACAGAGGCAAGGCCAGGTGCTGTCGATCCAGCCTTACGGTGGGGAGCCCAGCCTCAGGAGACCCCACGAAGACATCTGATCCCCTCCGTGGCCCCACTCCCGCCCTGCCAGGAGCCCTGGGCCAAGAGCATGGAGTCGCATTCGCCTTGGTCTCATCAGTCGGCCGGGGGAGGGTGGGACCCGGGGCGGGCGGGGGCTCGAGCAGGAGGATATCATCTTGGCGGCCTCGGCCTCCCCCTCAGCCTGCACAATCTTCTGCCGCTGCTCCTGCTTCGCCTTCTCCACCAAGAACTGGGCCCGCTGGGCTTCCTGCTGAGCTGCGGGGGGAAGAGGCAGGGCCCAGAGGCGGCGTCAAGAAGACCACCCAAGTCCTTCCCCTCCCGCATCTGGAAAGCTCGCCAGCTCCTGACTCACCCACTTGCTTGGCTTCTACCGCAGCCGTGTATTCTCGGCTGAAGCTCAGCTCTGTGATGGCCACGTCATCCAGGATGAGGCTGAAGTCCTTGGCCCTCTCCGTCAGTTCCCGTCGGATCAACAGGGACACCTGTGGGCAGGGGAGGAGGGGAAGGGGCGGCTGAAGGGGCTGGAGAGCTGGGGAGGGTCGTGCTGAACAAACAGCAAGTCTCCCAGGAGGGCTGGAGTTCCCTGCCCCTTCCTTAGCTCCCACTGCAATATGAGCGGCAAGGAGTCGGTTTGCTCTTCCCTCCGGGCAGGCCGCATGCTCAGGTCCTGCACTCTCTCCGACGCAATCACAGCCCCTTAGCTTCCTGCCAGGCAGACCTGTGACCCAAGCCTCTTTCCTGAGGGCTACAGGGACAGTCGCGCCTTTGCTGTTGCCCCTGTGCTCCCTGATGCTGGCCACTGCCGAGTTCTCACGAGGCTCTCCCCCCCACTGGCAGTGAGTGAGCACAGCTTTTAGGTGGAGACAGACAGCCACGACCCTTTCTGATAACCCGCTTTTCCCAAGGACCCTGGGCCTGGAGAGAAACGCAACACAGTGCAGGTGGTGAGGAGAGTCAGACCTGCGCCCGCTGGGTGATCAGCTGGGAGGCATTGAACTTGGCCACCACACTCTTGAGCACCTCGTTGACAATGGACGGCAACACGCGCTCCTCGTAGTCCAGCCCAAGGCGCTGGTACATGCTCGGAAGCTCCTGGGCGTTGGGTCGAGACAGCACCCGCAGGGAGATGTTCACCATCTGCAGGTCTGAGCGGGCGGTGAGGAGGGTGGGCAAGGGCGAATGCCCCCCCACTTCTGCCTGTGCTGCCCGCTACACCTAGTCAACCTTCACAGCCTGGCCTCCCCTGACAAGATGGGACACGGCACAGGTGAGACGCACACTTGTCCCTGGGGAAGCCTTCTTTCCCCACGACCCCTCCGGTGGGAGAGTTCACGCTGCTTTTTTTTCTCTTGAGCTGGATCTCACTGTCGCCCAGGCTGGAGGGCAGCTGCAGGCTCAGGGCCACCGCAGCCTCGACCTGCTGGGCTCAGGCATCCTTCCGCCTCAGCCTTCCAAGTAGCTGGAACCACAGGTGTGTGCCACCACACCCAGCTAACTTTTTGATTTATTGCAGAGACGAGGTCTCGCCAAGCTGCCCAGCTGGTCCCAAACTCCTGGACTCGGGCAATCTTCTTGCCTCCTCCGCCTCCCGAGGTGCTGGGATTATAGGCGTGAGGCACCACGCCTGGTCCAGCTCTTTTCTCTACTGCACCCCGTGCAAACTGACAGGGGCTCTGCTGCACAGTAACCACCTGTCTCCTATGAAGACTCGAGGACAAGAAGCGAGTTTTGTAAACCTTTGACTCTCAGAGTCCACAGTTTAAGGACTGAGTAACTGACCTGCACTAAAAACGGCACAAAGAAGCACATGACAGGTTACGGGGAGCTGCTTGCCTCCTGTGAGTGGGAAGACGGGGAAGGGGCCTGGGAAATCTCAGAGGAGCAGCTGAGTGTGGTCTGGGGAGGAAGAGATGGACCAGTCCCAGTGGGGACAAACTTCGCCCAACAGGGTGTACTCGTGGACGGGATCAACGCAAGCAGTTCCAAGAAAAGCGGCTTCGGAGCGGGGCTGCGAGCGGGGCCAAGGACAAGCACGCCGTCACTGAGTACACACCGGGCGAGGGACGGCCAAGAGAGCCCGCAGACGCACGCGCGTGTCGGGACCGTCCCGCCTCTCTGCGGGGGAGCCGAGGCCTCAGGGCGCTTCCCCGGGGTCTCCGCCGGCTGCCTGGACTTGGGGCGTCCCGCCCGCCCAGGCGCCCAGGCCTACCTTTGGAGCCCGTGGGGGAGGAGATTTTCCGAGGCCGGGCCCGGATGTCGTAGATGACCGGGTACTGGAACCAGGGGATCCT